CAGCAGCAGGCATCTACTCAGGACCCAGGGACCCATTTCTCATCCCATACATATGAAGTACTATCTTTTGAAAGTTTAATTTTCCTACTAAAACACCCCCCTCCCTCTCCTTCTATTCCCATGAGTGTGGTACATATCAGAGCTCTTCCTAATTTTCTTCTTGTAAACTTTCCCATCTTGAAATTCAAGGAGGTCTCAGAACAGGCGGCTTTCATTAGATGCTTGTCTGGGAAGCATATCATGGAGAAGGAATACATCTAAAATAAAATAAAAACTGAAGCAGAACAATATTCTTTAATCAGCATTTGACATCACCCTTTTCTGTCTTTCTGGGCCTGGGCCAAGGGCCTTGGAAAAACGATGAAACATCATGAGGCTAAGTGGAGAGACAATTCAAAACAGAAGGCTGCTTCTTTAGATTTTGAGTTCCAAACCAGAGACAAGAATTGTTGGGGGAAGTAGACTGAAATACATTAATATGTAAGGTACAGATTTTCTCATCAGTTGGGAGAGCAAAATCCAGGCAAATGGTAAAACTTTGGGAACCTGGCATTATTGATGTTACCCTTTAATGCTTGGCTGATTGTATATTTTATTTATTCAAGAGGTAAAACCAAATATTATACAAAAGAAATGTAATTTACAACACAGACTAACAGAGTTATACATACATATTTATGAAACAATTCCTTTTTCTCCTTCCTCCAAAATCCCATTAATTTGGTGAATATTTCTTATGCTAAACTGATTCCCAAAAGGTTGTCTTCATAAATAAAATAATAATTACATATTTGCTCCAAGAAATTCTCTTCCTTTCCTCTCTCTTCCAAGTGACTACAGCCTAAAGTATTCAAGTATCTGAAGCAAAGTTTTTGATTTTTTATTTTCTAGAAAGCTTCCTGCTCAATCTCCTTTTGATGCTTAACTCATGGTGAATTTACAGTGGGTTTGCAGAAATGACTTCTTGGTTGATGACTGGCTATTAAAGAATAGATCATGCAAAAGAAAAATAAAGTTCTAGTGCTCACAGACAGAAAAATTCATGGTCTTTTACCCTTCATTAAAATATGTATGCTTAGAGTTGTTTTTTAAAAATGGGGAAGAGTTTGCTCTGATAGTTCAGCTACTCTTTCTGGAAACTAGCATTACTCAGCTCTATCTTCATGGAGGTTTAAGAAATGCAGGAGAATGGATCAGATACTTCCCGCAGTTACATCCTGCATAGAATTTTCCTTAAGCCAAACACCTCCTCTCGACATTGCATTCCATGCAAGAAAGTTAGTGTGGATAACAAGCAGATGCAGTGCTGACAGCTCCTTGCATGTTCGTGATAAGGGAAGTATAGTGGTAAAAATACTCTTCTGGACATGTGGATCTGTCTTTTGCCATGCACAACGCTGTGCAAGTTACTTAACTTCTCTGGCCTCTTTTTACTTTACCTGTAAAATAGTATCAACACTATCTGCATTGTACAGTTGTCATGAATCTATGGCACCACTCAGAGGTAAACTTGGTAAGTGAATGAGCAGACCAGCATAAATTTAAGTCATATTATAGAGCAGATGCAAGCAAACAAACATGTCCTTGTAACTGGAAGAGTCATTATGGTGCAATAATAGTGCAGTATAGAATTTCTTTGGGTTTGAAAAGAGTTTTGACCCTGATATTCTTTTCATGGTAAAGACATCAGAATGTTTTCATTGGCTTAGCTTAGTCCAGATCAAATTAAGAAAAAGAGACAAGTCAAAATGATTATCTTTGCTACTTGTTCTGTGATGCGTTTCTCAAATGTATGTTTAAGTGGCTGGTGCAAGACACTCTCACAAGTACCGTGTACCCAAGTGACTTTCTGTGTCCTCATCACCCCAGTTCTCTTTTCTCCCCTATATTTTAAAATAAGTGACAAATCTCAGTGCAAATATTGGGACATTTCTGCCAAAGCTTCCTTTCTGCTGAAGTGATTTAGTACTTCTACCTTGCTACAGACCCCCTACCTAACACATGTGTTTAGTCCCCAGTGTGAAGCATAGGCTCTTGTGTTTCATAAGGATGGGAAAAGAGGATGGTCACAGAGTTCAGGGGAGTGAGAGGAAGAACGATGCCCTGCTCACTTGGGGTTTTGTCTTCCAGAGTTCTTGCTCCGTTTTCCTGGTTGCACCAGTATCAAGGCCATTGGATGTGTAACCGATGGTACACATCTGTCCTGCTGTTGCCCTGGTGACAATGTGTGGCCTTGTTCCTGGTGGTTTCTTTAGTTTTACAAGCTGGAGTACCCCGGGAGCAGAGGTGAGCAAGGGATCTTGTGTGGGATGTGAGCCTTCCCCTTTAGAAGAACCTACTTGGAGAAATGGTTAATCAAGACACCCTCCCCTTCCTTGACTGAAGCAACAACAGCTGTGGTCTTATCTATTTGAAAGGAAAACGGCCATATGCAGAACTGAATGAGGCCTGTTGTTTGGCTATTCTTCTGTGTTTACTGCTAAGAAAATGGCTTTTGATGGTTATTATCAGCTACTTTATTGTGGAATACGGAGAAAATACCTTCATATCAGTTTTCATCGAAATAAATCACTTTTAAGCATATAATCTATAATCCCAGAATGATAGCCCTGCAGCAGTAGGTACTGGGATCACTTACCCTGTCTTTCTGGCCAGGGGCTGGGGAGTATGATGACTCTTTCCGCTTTGTCTACCACTTTGGTTTCTAGAGCTATCTATCTACCACCTGGCATTCTTTCTGAATAGCTATTGGGCAAGAGCATCAGAGAAGAACTGGCTGAGAATGGAACAGCACCACAGGATAATAGGCAAAAGGGAAAGAAAGGAAACTGGAGGAAGAAAATAGCACTGCCTGGTGCCTCCTAACAGAATTATATGGCCTCGTGTGTTTACTCCAATCACTAGGTTAACAGGGAAAGAAGCAAAAGAACAGCAGGCTTCAGTGTCCACAAGTTCAGTCAGTCATGCAGAGAGAGTGGGCTCCTCCCAAGGGAAATTTTTGCAAGCAGGGAACAGTCAAGATATTTTGAAATGTAATTCAGATTCCAGAATGCAAGTGGGTGGGGCAAAGAGGATGGGCTACTTCTGCTGACAGCAGATTAGGCCATTTATAATGTATTTGAAGTACTGAAGTGATACCACCACAATAAATGGACACTCAGCCCCAGGCTTCAGGGATACTGGCAAAACCAAAGGGGTTAAGTTCATGCACTTAAATGTTCATGCACTTCTGACTTGTGGGAGCCGCATTTGGTGTTCCTAGCTCCCTGACCTCAGTTACCTAACATTTGAGTTTGTGTTCCCACTTCATTCTGTTTAATGTTAACTAAGACTTCAGACTTAATTGCTTTTTAGTTTGCCATATTGGTTGTTAAAGCTATATTAAATGCTAAGTAACTGGGTGTGGTGGCACACACCAGCAATCCCAGCACACTGATGCAGGATGATCAAAATTTTGAATCCAGCCTGGGCAATTGAGTGACTTAGCAAGAACTGGTCTCAAATTAAAAATAAAGAGATGGGGATATACCTCGGTGTAGAGTTGGGTTTAATCCCCTGTACCATTACAACAAAGTAAATGATTGTAAATGATATGATTCAGACACAAGTGGAATTATAAATCAAAGGTCATAGATTCAATTCCCACCTTCAGATACCTTTGTATCAAATCAACATTTTGGGGAAAATCCAACCAATCATCTGGCAATTATGGACACTATTTTTTCAATATTTTATCTTAATTTATATGTGTTTATGTGAACATGGTCACTGCCTAATATTAAACCACTATGAGAATCTGATATCTGCCACTGACACATAGTATAATGTTTAATGCATTTGTGGAAACATAATTTTTTTTTTTTTTTTTTTTTGCGGAACCAGGGATTGAACTCAGGCCCTTGTGCTTGCCCGGGAAGTGTTTATTCTACTGAGCCATCTCCTTGGCCCGGAAACACAATTTTGAATACTAAATAAAATAGTCTAACTATAATTGGACTTTATTCTACTTGGATATTAGTGTTATCAAGGGTTGGGGAAGATAAAGAAGTGAGGAAACAGCTAATGAAGCAGAAAGGTTTATTTTATTATAAATAATTTAGCTTTTGGGAGTTTTATTCCATTTCCATTTCCAATTGTTTTCCTGCCCAAGGAGCACTGAGATTTATCCACCTAGCTAGCACCATTCAAGATGTGAGTCCTTTTTTTTCTTTTTCTTTTGCCTAAGATAGAATTTGAAGGCATCTTGAAATGAGATAAAGAGGTACTTTTAACATTTGACAAGATGTCCTAGTCCTATGGGACAAAGTAAAGGAGGACAGGGCCCAAGAATGAGAAGAATATCACCAAAATGATTTTTTTAATGATATGAGATGAGCTGAACTTTTGCTATAGAATCCAGTGTGTACCTGAAATGCAAATTAGAGATAAATCCGCAGGTGATTATAATAACTTAAATTTTACATGAAAAATGCATTAAAAATTAAAAAAGAAAATGCATTAAAAAGATTCACCCAAAACATTATTAAATAATAATTATTTAGAAAGAATTTAACAGTGGTTAATCTGTGTGAATCACCACAGTGCGTGGTCTTGAAGTAAATTTAAATTATTCTGCTGAAAAATATTGTAAATATTTCTATACGTAAACACATATACACTACTCACATTTATAGGTTCCCCAACTAGTGGTAACCAAGGAAAGATTTCCACTTCAATTTCACATCATTAGAGAGCAGATTTTATTTGGCCATGTGAAGTCAATTCTTGGGGCTTAAAAGAAGAGATTATATGCTCACTGGCATAGCAGATTCCTAGCCATCCTGGCTTTTTCCTTCTACCTTTTGTGGTCCCTGAATAAATCTGGGGCCAACTTCTTGTAACTATATTACTGAGTGGGATGAGGGGAAGGGAATGAAAAAGGAAATACTGTTCCCACTGCCTTCCACTGGAGAATTCCTTGGATTGACTTCCTGAAATCTCCTTCTGTTTGCCTTCACCAGGAATGGCGGCCCTAGATAGTAAGGCATCAGGGAAGATGGGGATGCGAGCTGTAATCTATTACATGACTACCACCATCATTGCTGTGGTGATTGGCATAATCATTGTCATCATCATCCATCCTGGGAAGGGCACAAAGGAAAACATGTACAGAGAAGGCAAAATTGTCCAGGTGACTGCTGCAGATGCCTTCCTCGACTTAATCAGGTAGGTCCTGTCCCTTGGGTATGTTCTGTCTACCCAACCCCCTTATTTTGGGGAACTAATCAAACTCTGAAAGAAGTATCTGACTGAACCAGCCTTGCCTGATTTGAAATGAAGGCCACATCTTCACTTCTTTCTAAAAGAAATTGAAATAAGGCACTATTTTCTGGTATTGTATGGAATAGGTCAGAAGGATAAAAAGAGAGATAGATTTTGAGAGGCCTGAATTCAGAATCTCATCACTAAGTTTTCTCCACTGTGAAGCTCACATTGGAATATAAATAACATTTAACCTACTTTTTAAGTCTCATACTTTAAGGCTGTTTTTTAGCCTAACCATTGAACCCCTAATTTGGAATGTATTTCATTGTTCATTATACAAAACACAGTTGATTAAGGGATTTTGCAGAGCATTTGGTCATATCTGTCCAAAGCCTTTCCTTTTGAATCATTTATGAAGGAATTGGTGGATTAGTTAGAATATCAAAGGATGAATTCTGTATCACTGTTTTATTACAAACCAGATATTGATTATAAATGAGCCATTTGGCCTTTGAAGCAAACTTGGTAAGAGATAGCCTTCAACAGAACTGTGTAGTAAGCCCAAGTTTAATCCTGGCATATTCCTGCCTTCTTTTCTATGCATCTGCCCTATACTATCAGGTCTTAGAAAGAAGAACTCTGTATACTCAAAAGGAACATTGAAGAAGGTTTGCAAAGGCTTAGACACTGTTCACAGAACCTCCCAGGGATGAGAGAGACTGAGAACTAACAGCAGTATAGAGCTATTTTGTCTCTCTCCTGGGTAGAAAGGGAGTGCTTTTGATAGAATACCAAAAGAGATATAGCCATGGGAGAGAGGCTTCAGGGTAAGAGCTCTAGCTTTAATTGGAATAAGGAAGCTGCCATCAAATTTTTCTGAAAGAGAGCTAAAAAATATATACTTGAATTTCTTTCTCTACACTACCGTCAGTACCACCAGACAAACACACAGGCAACCAGAAGGCAAGAGAATCCATGTACAGATCCATGGGAGACCACAGGAGTCAACCATTGCACAAAGAAAACTAGAGAGTAGGTCTAAAAACTCTTTCTAGCTCCAGAGATTTCCCAGAATAGGCCCTCACATCGTCCATCTTCTTGGCACTCACCATGTAACCCACCCCGCCTGTCCTCCTGAAACCTAGCAGCAAAGAATTAGGAAAGGGTTTCCCACGGCCACTTGAAGACAGCTCATTCAAAGGATTGACCTCATTGCAAGACGTGGGTCTGTGTGAGTAAGATTCACAAGAGATTTGGGATCCAGAGGGCCTTGTCACCAGCACTCTCAGTCCCCCCATAGGCATCACCCAATCCCATGGTGTTTCTTCTTAAAAGTCCTTCTCAGGGGACTAAAGAACAGTGATCTAAAAGTATCAAGTCACCTTCTAATATTATTTTCTACCAAGTTGTCACCCTAGAAGTTGTTTTTATTTAGTTCATGCAGTAACTTGAAACTTTCCATCATATTTTCATGAACTTTACTCTCAAGTAGTTTGGGTTAGGAGTCTTTTATTACTGTCAATTTTCCTGTAAGTTTCTATATTTACTTGAACAATTAGTATCTTTTTATTTGTAGTTTCATTGGTCCATCAGAGCACTGTGAGTTTGTCCCCTTCTTTGCCATAACAACAAAACATGACTCCTGCCACTAATGAGTTACTTGGCTTCCACATTTATCCTAGGAGCTCCTGAGCGCAAACATCTATCACGGAAATAAGTCCATAGAGCGTAGATGAGAACAAAAAGGAAATATGATGTTCTAGATAGTAGAATGAGAAGGATAAGAATTTACATCCTTAAACCTATAACTTTGAGGGCATGTGACTTCTAGAATCGCAAATTTAGGATCACATCCTCCCAGTCTTCTATCTTGGATTGGTAATGATGATTTAATCCAGTCTCTTCTTTACAGATGAGTGAACTGAAACATAAATAGGTGTCATGACTTGAACAATGTCATATTCCCATCCGCAGTGCTACCTCTCTCCCAGAATGAACTCCACACTGCTCTGACACACAACACAGTCTCTGAGAAAGTGACAATCCCTGCTTTGTGGGCCTCAAGATCAGCTTTTGTGGACCATCTCTCCATTGGCCACCAAACAGCCTCAGAAGCTACTGCAGTTCAGTGCCAATGTCCAAATCTCTCTTTTGGGAGAATTTTTTGAAGAGTAAAATTTAGAGTCCAACCATGAGTTTTCACTCAGAACTCTTGGTTCCTGAACACATAGCACAATAACTAAAAGAACCACTACTGAATAATACCACAGTCAGTCACACTACTAATGATAAAAGGTATTTCTAGTCTCACTTCGATCTTTCTAGGAGTGTTTTGATTATGTAATATCAAAATAAGAAGTCTCATTGGCTGGCAAGAAGACTATTGAGTTGAATTTGTGTCTCGTGAAAAATGAGTTGTACAGGCCACACTTACCGATAACTATCTATTCCATTGAAAGTCATAAAATCCTAAATCTTTGTCTTTTTCACTTGCTACTCAATTCAATGCAATCTTTACCTTAGACATGATCAAATAATATTGAAAGAACAAACTTACTACACTATTTGAGAAATTTGTCAAGTAACTGCTGTTTTCTTTGCAGGAACATGTTCCCTCCAAATCTGGTAGAAGCCTGCTTTAAACAGGTAAACACTACAGCAATTCATTCACCTTTGAAAACTTTTCTTTGGCTTACAGAACCAGTGGGAAGTCCCCCAAGCCTTCACGGCCATTGCAGTTTCTGTGCAACCACATGGAAAACAGCAGAGTTTTCATGGAAATTTAGGGAATTCGGGAAAGTGGTTCTTACTTTACATTGAATGCTTACTACTTATCAGATAGTAAGCAGTGGGTCTGGCCCAAAATAGCACATGGGTGCCTGCCATTGTGAAGAGGGCTAATCAAGAGGTCCAGTTCCTCTTCCTTTCCCCAGTGCTCACACAGGAAAACCCAGCAAGCAAACAAACTCCAGTATATAATGCACTAACAACCTACTTTAAACAAAATTGAATTGGATATTCCACTTTCTAGGTTTGATTTTAAAAATCACAACTGTTTTCATTAAAAATCTATTCAGGACTTTCAGAATTCTAAAGAAGAGAAACAAAATATGAGAAATATTTCTAAATATGAGAAATAAAACCCATTACCATATACAGAATGCCTATTGTGTGCCATGTGCTTATATTATATTTAATCTCCATATAAATATTGTGGGGATTATATCTTCATTGGACTGATGAGGTTCTCATTTGAAAGAATAGGGAAAGTATGCAAGAGGCACATGTTCTCACAAATAGAAAATGCCACACCAACCCAGAATTCAGACTATGGTGCTGACTACTGATTCTACCCACTTCCTTCTACTCCTTTTGCTTCCCAGAAAGTGATGTTCAGGTTGATGAGCCACTTACCTGGAGGTTATTGTGAAGTCCATTCTTTTTAGCTCTGTAGCTAAGCAATTCTTGGCTCACAAAATTATGAACACAAATACATTTTACTTTTAGGGAATAAAAATCAGCAGAGTTCATTTTAACCTCACTTGACTATAATAGCTTTGTTGCCCACAATATGAAAAGGGAGATCGATATTCTGTAAATAATAGTTCCCAAACTCTTCCCCATGTGCCACCAATTCACCTACATGGCAGCTCTCTAACCTTTCTGCATGGAATCTCAAAGCAAACAAGACAAAATCCCAACCTCATGAAAATCAGTTGTACACATGTAAGTTTCCTTTGTTTTTGCTCTTAAAAAAAAATTAAGATTATTTTATCAGGTAATATGTGCACATATTGCAAAATTAAAGGGGAATCATTTCTTTAAGAAAAATCTTAGGAGGGCAAAGTCGAACTTTTTTGTTCAAAAATAGTTATAACTATAAATAATAAGCCCTATACAGTACCATGGATCTTAATATTCTAGTTATTTAGCTGCCTCTGGGTGATGTCAAAAATGCTGATTTCCAGATCTTTCAGGTGGGAAAAGTGCTGTTTAGCAGTATTGGTTGCATTTAGTTTGGGAATGCATTCACAGGATTTTGAAGAGAAAGCAAAAGTATCTCCCCAGACCTGTTTGGCTTAGATCAGAATTCAAATGAGGTTGCAATTTCTGAGTAGGTTGCAAACTGTGTCTAAGGGGAAGGAGTTGGAGACACAGGAAAGGCTGGTGGGGGTAGAAAATCTACCATGAACAATTTATAAAATGCATAAGCACCCAACAGAGTAATGAGATTTGGGAGTTGACTAGATTCTTTGTTGCTTGAAATTACTAGCAGTACCGCTGATTGTTCAGGGTTGTGTCTGCAGTATTGACAGCTAGCCTTGCCCTTGTGTGGGAATAATAGATTCCCAACAGACCAGAAAGTCTCCCGCTTACTCTTGGCAAAGAAATGGCCAAGCACTTCATGTCTGGCGATTCTCTCCCTGCACTCTAAGTCCAGGCAACACCCTTGCACCATTACTCTTAGTGTTGCTTTGCACCCACCCCTATTAAGACCAGGAAATTAAAATTATATAGGGATGGGCTTCATTGTTTCGTGTGGTCAGAGCAATATTTTCACCATCTCCTGCGAGGGGCATCTATGCAAAACCATGGCAGAAAGGCCATTTATGGGCTTGAAGAAAATAAATTGTCATCATCAGCTATTCATTAGGCACCTATTCTTAAGACTGATAATATCAGGAATGACTTTATGAGTGGTCATCTAGGACTTTTTATTTTACTACCCACTGAAATCTCCAAACAGGTTTAATTCCAGAAGGATTTTGTCACTGAGCATCATTAGCCAACATTAACAAAGTACTATAAAATTTGTAAGAGGCTCTCATATATTATTTTTGGCTTGGTCACTGCAACAACTCTATGAAGTACAGTTATTCTTGTTTAACTACTATGGAATATGACAGAAGGGGGGGCATGTATTTGGTCAGTGATCCTGTAGCATCAGACCACCATAAAGTAAAAGGACTCTGGTGAATATTGGAATTTATGGCTTTTTAAAATCCCTCTGTATTGTCTTTTTTACTGGGACTTCAGAGAAAGTGGACTCCCATATGTGTGGTTAGTCCAATACTTTTGGCTAGGTATCTCCTTCCTACGACGACTAATTAGGTACTTGAGTGCGTGTATGTATAGTATGTATCTGTACATAGATATGCCTGCTTCTCTGTCTTTGTCAAGGAATATGGGTTTTACCACATATGCATAGAGAAATAGATGTTAGGTAGATGAATTAATAGATAACAAATGGACCATTTCTATAGCATTCTGCTTTGATTATTTTTTTTTTCCAGTACGGGGATTGAGCTCAGGACCCTGCACTTGCCAGGCAAGCACTTATTCTACTGAGCTATCTCCCCAGCTAGCATTCTGCTTTGAATACAATGTAATATTTACTATTGTGGAAAATTTGGAAAACAGTACCATAGAAAGAAAAAGACAAAAATCATTCCAATCCTGGTATGCTTTTATTTTTAAGTTTAAAACCAACTATGAGAAGAAAAGTTTTAGAGTACCCATCCAGGCCAACGAGTCTCTCTTGGGTGCCGTGATAAACAACGTGTCAGAGGCCATGGAGACACTCACGCGGATCAAGGAGGAGATGGTCCCAGTGCCGGGATCTGTGAATGGGGTCAACGCCCTGGGACTGGTTGTCTTTTCCATGTGCTTCGGCTTTGTGATTGGAAACATGAAGGAGCAAGGGCAAGCCTTGCGGGAGTTCTTTGATTCTCTTAACGAAGCCATCATGAGATTGGTCGCAGTGATAATGTGGTATGTGTTTCTGTTTGCTATGTAACTACATACATGTAAGATGGGTATCAAAATGTGTTAAGTACTGAGGAAGACACCACCAGACCAACTGTGGTGACCTCACTCTGGTAAGCACTCTGGTAAGCACAAGGAAATCAGTGCACTTCTGAGCCTTCTGAGCCTACATGTAAGCCTCTCAACAAGTTTCCTTCCTCATTTTCAAAAGATATCAACTCCTTTTCCCTTGTGCCAGTGGAATCCCACTCCTCACTGGCCCCCTTTGCATCAGCACAGTTATTAATTTCAGAGATATTTATTGTCTACTATGTGGCAAGCAGAGCACATAAGGCACTCCGAATACAGCAGTGAAAACAACATGCAAGGGCATCCTCTAGGTCTTTAATTTTTTTAAAGAAGATAGACATAGGACTGGTGAGATAGCCCAGTGGACTAAGCACCTGCCCAGGCAAGCACAGGGACCACAGTTCGATTTCTAGTTCCACATGCTGTGCCAGCGTGGTGGTACATGCCTATAATCCCAGCACTGGGGAGGCTGAAAACAGGAGGATCATTATGAGTCTGAGCTGTGTAGTAAGACCCTATAAAAAATAAAATAAAAATAAAGAAGATAAACATAAACAACAAAATAAATTATCAAGATGCTTCAGTTACAACTGCTGTAAAATATAAAGTAACCTAAATGGTAAAGAAAGACCTCTAAATTTGCTAAGACCTGAATGCCGAGGCTAGGCCAATCCCACAAATACCCAAAGAATTGCATTCACACTGGAGAGAAAAGCGAACGCAGAAACCCTACACTGTCAGAAAAGTTCAGGTCTCCTCTCTCTATCTGAGTGAGCCTTAAGAAAGAAGTGTGCACACCAGCATTGGTGCAATGTACAGAAGGCCTCGAGGAGAGTACTACAGCCCTCAAGCCATGATTTATAACAGAACTTCCTTTAATAAAGCTGAGAGCTGGGCTGGTGAGATGGCTCAGTGGTCTAAAGCACCTACTTAGAGCAAGCTAAGCTAAGCAAAACACAGGGAACGCGGTTCAATCCCCCAGCACCATATGCCAGACAGCCCCGCCCCCTGGTGGGCTGAGCTGGCCACACACACAAAATGAATGAATGAATAAATAAATAAATAAATAAATAATTCTTTAAAAAAAAATAAAATAAAATAAAGCTGAGAGCAGGAGACAAAAGAAAAGACTAATCCAAAGAGGAACGTTGACCTTGGAATGCAAACTTACCCCAGCAGGGAGAGAACACTTTGCTTGCTTTAGGCCTTGTGTAGGGGTTGCTTTCCTTTTATCCTTTAATTTTAATATCCAAACTCTTTCCTGGCACCTGAGGCAGAAAGGCTTCCATTGCTATGAAAAACCCTCACTCCCCAACATGATTAAAAACGCCCTTTCTCTAATGCCACCAAAGCCCAAAGAAATCCACATTTCAGGAGTTTGCACAAGACAGATATGAACTTGGGCACAAAGACAGGTCAGAATGTGATCTCTATGGGGCCTCCAATTGGAAAGCTCCTTTGAAATCCTGGCAGGGCTGAAAGTGGACATTTATCTTCACATTATTAAAATGTCTTCACTGTTCACCTCTTCCATGAAAGAAACTCATTCAAGGCCACTGAATGAACCTCACATGTAGTCTTTCTGACTGTACATTTGCCTATACATTCAACATTGAGTTATTACTTTCCTGCATACAGGTACTCCTATAATTTCCTGGTCTGTACTTTTAAGGGATTTTTGAAAGAAACATTGTACTGTTCAGTTCCCAGTAAGTCCACCTCCTTAAGGAGGATAGCTTCTCTGTTTTGGGTAATGTGAGTTTAGTGGTAGTTTATTGCACACAGCAGAAAAAAGGATTAAAAGACAGGCAGCAGAGCCTTGGGGCAACGACGGTTATGTCACTAGGTCCAAGTCATTTTGTTATGAGTTGTTCATTCTCTTCAGAGTCAGCAAGAGAAAAGGCAGGAGCAGCCTAGAGACAATAATTACTTAATTACACCTATAACCTAATTGTGTTAGAACATGCTTGCACATTATAAATTGTAATAACTGAATTTATTTATGTACTATATAGAGCAAGTGATAGTTTTCCATTTGCACTGTAACAAAAAACTCTTAAAGTAAGTTTATCTAAATAAAAATGATGACTTGAAGAAAAATACTAAGTAATGTTTAGGTGATTTGGAGATACGAAAAAAAGTAATAAAAGTGGCCCTGGAATAAGAGAACTGAATATAAATCTGCAGCATGGTATTATGTGGCTCTTGCTTGAACTGAGGGAGCAGGCTGAGATGTGGAAAACACACCCAAGACTGTGGAGATAGGTCAGGTGGGCTGTGGCAGTTCCAGGTACTTGGCGATATCCAGAGGTAAGGAGAGGAGTAAAGACCAGCAAAGTATCCTACATGCACTGAAAGGATAACCACTCTCCCTAAAGTTTTCAAAGATGTAAGAGTTTTAAAGATGTGTCTTAGAGTAAGACTGGCTGACAGGAAAGCCTGATTCAACAGTATCCAGGGAAAACTTATTTTAAGGAAATTCATAGTTCCTACAAATTCTAGACATGTCCTAGGGAATTGCCATGGAATAGCTTGTTAGAAATCAGACTCTTGATCATGCATGTGTTGCTTCTCCCTAGGTATGCCCCCCTGGGTATCCTCTTCCTGATTGCAGGGAAAATTGTTGAGATGGAAGATATGGGCGTGATTGGAGGGCAGCTTGCCATGTACACGGTGACTGTCATCATCGGCCTCCTCATTCACGCCGTCATTGTCCTACCTCTCCTATACTTCCTGGTAACCAGGAAGAACCCTTGGGTCTTCATTGGAGGTTTGCTGCAGGCACTCATCACAGCACTGGGGACCTCTTCAAGGTAGGCATGACTGGATTGGACACTTCTGTCACTGAGACACAGTAACTGACACTTGCAACTCAGAGGTTTAATTTGGCTCATGGTTTCTGAGGTTGCAGTGCATAGTCCCTAGCCCCCAGGCAGAAATAGCATGGGGAGAACCCACAGGGAAACAAACCTGCTTATTTCATGGTGACCAGGAAACAGGACACAAGGGAAGAACTCAGAGAGAAGGGGACTAAGGACCTGATAGAGTCACCAAAGTCACACCCCAGCCAGACACACCCTATGTGGGCTTTACCAATCTAGGCATCATCTCTCAAGCCAATCAAATTGACAGTCAAGCTTAGCCATCACATTCCTCCAGGACAATGTGTCTAAACTTTTACCTTGAACTTGAGCTTCTCAGATGAGAGGTAGATGAAGGCTTCGGTGCTGGATTTTAAACTTAAGAAATAATGAATTTGCTTTTTCATCCCTATTTGGGATACAAGGAATTCTTAAATCCATTGGCTGCATGTTCTTCCATGGGGGTGGGCAAAATGGAAGCCACCTGTCCTTTCCTATCCATTGCCATTACTGTCTTGCAGTTGAAATGGCAGAGTGACTGGGCAGTGGGTACTCAATGGGGAAAAAGCATGAGTGATGCCTCAGAGGAACCTGGAAGCGGGACAGCTGCCAAATTATCCCACGAGGGGCCCACACTGTTCCTGACCCTGCTCCCCTTTTATACAACTGCTGACTTAGTTCCCTTTTAGTTAGGAGAGGAAGGAACTGTCTGTCCAAAAGGCCACATAGACAGAATGACAGGAAGGACCCTCCGCTGACATGCCTTATTTTACTGTTCTCAGTTCTGCCACCCTGCCTATCACCTTCAAGTGCCTGGAAGAGAACAATGGCGTAGACAAACGTGTCACCAGATTTGTGCTCCCTGTGGGGGCCACCATTAACATGGATGGGACAGCCCTCTATGAGGCTTTGGCCGCCATTTTCATCGCTCAAGTCAACAACTTTGACCTGAACTTTGGACAGATTATCACAATCAGGTACAAGAGAAGAGTTCAAAATAATATTTTCTTAGCAATGAGTTTTTAACAAATAGCATAAAGACCAAGGATGGAAGAAGACATAGTTGAGAAGAGAATCCCACATTAACAAGAGGTTGGGATGGATTGAAGGAATAGATAGATATTTTTATTAGCTGTGACAGATGCATGTGCTCATTAACAAAAAAATGAATAACAGAAATGTAAAAAGCACAAAGTATAGCTTGTTTGTCACCACATCGTTGCATCTTTTTTTAAAGCAATCATTATTTATGTTTGGCTTGGAAAGAATTTTGCTTATGCATAGACACAGGTCCACTTCAGGTGTTTTGTTTTGATTTGTTTTTAGTACTGGAAATTGAACTCAGAACCTTGTACTTGCCAAGTAGGCAATGTACCACTGAGCTAAATCTTCAGTCATTTCTTTCTTGGTAATTAATCATACTATAGATACTGTATACCTTTCATCTGTTTTTTTAATCAATATATCATTTACAAATCAAGTTCATTAATGCCAACAAAATATAGTGTGAATATTTCTCTTTTTAAAAAAGTTGTTATACTTCAATAGTACGTTAACTTTTATAGGCAATATTGGGAAATAAAATGCACTTGGAAAACTGGAACTTTTTTCACTGTGGTAGGTTTTTAGGCGCTATAGGAAAAACGACAGAGCTGGGGATATGGCTCAGTGGAATAAGTGCTTCCCTGGAAAGCGCAAGGGCCAGAGTTCAATCCCCAGTTCCGCCAGAGAGAGAGAGAGAGAGAGAGAGAGAGAGAGAGAGAGAGAGAAAGGTGACAGTTCTAACTGGCAAGTTAGATTGAGAATTTAATTTTTACAGGAAAATTTTTAAATTATTATGTTCAAGGTATTTAGTGAAAAGTAATCTTTTTATAGCTTTTCCCAGTCTGTTAGTTTTCTTCTGTAGAGACAATCAATGTTACTTGCCAGTTTCTCTTATTTCCTTTCAAAGATAATCCCTGCATATCCACGTGGGAATGGATATCCATGCAGGAGCACAACTTGCTTCTGCCTACTGCAAGTTGCCATGTACAAGGGACCCGGAAGTCTAACTGCCACTGGAGACGTTAAGCGTCATGATCTAGATCTGCCTCTGATTTTCACTGTTGTGCATTTGGATTTCAATTATTATGAACAATATATTTTGGGGATCAAAATAAATCAGATTTTTTCTTGTCACAGTTTTTAATTGTGATAGCTTTTATACACATAGAAAAGCTGGAACAATGTTATGACAGATATCCTCTACCTAGACCTAAAGCTTGCTAACACTTTCCATTTTTGCTGCCTCCCTAACCCCTGCCATCATGATATTTCATCCATAATCATTGACTGTACAGCCCCTGAGAATAAGGATGATCCTCTACATAGCCACAACAGGAAGCGTCTTGAAAATACTTCCAGGTTTTCCAGTCTAATCTTCAGATTTTCCCAGTTGATCCCAAAATGTCTTTTATAGCTTTTTTTCCCAGAGCAAGACCAAATCCAGGCTTATGCAAAACATTTGGTTTTACGGTTTCTGGTAATCTTTATCAGTAACCTCACATTTTTGTTATGTTTATTTAGAAATAAGTTATCTTGGGCTCTGTGTACATACTGTATGTTACTGGGAAAGAATATTAGCTGTAGGGTGCATTGGAATGAAAAAGATGAGTCTGGTCATGGCCAGAGATCATGCACTGATCTCGAGGTTGTGGGAACCTTAAGCCCAGTCTAATCACTGTGAAAACTGGAACATCATTATCTCAGCTCACTTGTAACCTATTCTCTAGCACACTTTGGCATATTGATTGAAAAATCCTAAGTCAGGACAAAGATTCAGCTGCACAGACAGAATTAAAAATAATGAGAACAGTCTTAATGGCTTAAACAAAGTAGAAGTTCACTTCTCTGTCATATGTCCCTGCTCCACAAAGCCCCCAAGAGCTGCTAGGTGTTCTGCTGTGTAAGGAGCCAAGAGTATAGGGTACTTCACAATCTCTGGGGTATTACCCTTACCTGGGTGGTCTAAAACGGCTCATCACCACCCCCAAATTTTGGCCAGTGGAAAGCTGAGATGTGGCTTAACCTTTAAGTTACAAGATCACTTCCTAAATAAATAAATGTCACAGAATATTGACATAGAAAAAAATAACTAGATCCCTTCTACCCATGTCTCCTAGGCTAGAACTAAATCTAAGCTTTAAAGGAGACTGGGGAGTGTAGGCTTCATTTGGAGTAGCCATACAGGATCTAGAAGTGCTAGGGCCTCTGTGGGGACTTAGGGCTTTATCAATACCACTTTAGATCTACATGGCTTAATGTTCATAAAGCATGTTTATACCCTCACATCACCCTCTCAAGTAGGCACTGAACCAGATTTCCAGCAGGTTACACACTTGACAAACCAGTCCACATGACCATACCCCCCCATACAGATCTACAGAACATTAGCAATCATTTTGTTTTTGAATTTAACTTTTATGATTACATCAGTTGGACAAGTTTAGTCCTATTATAACTCTCCACTTGGATAGGCAAATTATTAGGAATAAATTGTTGCTGTAATTCTATGGCATTATATACATACAGACACTTTCAGGAACATCAAAAAGAATATAGACATCAATTCCTTCATTAAAGAGGGCTGAAATAGTAGGACCAACTTCATGAGGGTTGTTGTGAAAATTACGTTAAATAAGCCATGATTACTGTAGTAGATCACAGTCAGTAATCATGTGTTGACTAGTAATATAGTAATGCAATCATTTTTCTTTTTAAACTCATTCCTGTTTTTCGGGTGTGTACTTTTCTGACAACAGCAGGCATTGTTACCAGGTCTGCTAGGCAAGGTGCTCTCCCCAGGGTGGGATTTGTAAAAACGTTTTCTGTTTCCACACTTCTTTCGACAGCATCACAGCTACCGCTGCGAGTATAGGGGCAGCTGGGATTCCTCAGGCGGGCCTGGTCACCATGGTCATCGTGCTGACATCGGTGGGCCTGCCCACTGACGACATCACGCTCATCATCGCAGTGGACTGGTTCCTGTGAGTACCCATGCTCTGCTTCTGCCTCACTCCCCAGCGTGCCAAGCAGCTGGCGTGCCTGCCAGGAGACCTTGGAGAAGAGGCCCAGCTCAGTCTGAAATGAAACTCTCCTCACTGATCCTTGGCTGAGGTGCCATGTGCGCTTACTCGCCTGTCAGCCTGCTGGGAACATCTGGCTACCACGGTTCTCACCCCATAAGCCATTCAGAGTTGGGAAACCTGCTCTCTGCAAGCCAGTGTGAATCTGCAAGGCCCCTTCTGAATTGCACAGCGTATCCCCTCGGTGGTCCCACTCGCTGGCTCTGGCCCTTCCTCCTTGCACTTCCCACTCCAGTGGTGAAATGCAGGGTGGATGTTCCCATCTGAGCCGCACAAGCTGAGCGCTGGCCATACAGACAGTGGGAAGACACCTAGCATTGTTAAGTGGAACTGATTTCAGGCTCTTGGGGAAGTTCTAACCGCCGGGGCTCATCTCTGTGTCCTCTTCCCTTGTGATTTCAGCTAACATTCTCTGACCTTTGCCTCTCACAAGTTTCCTACCACCTTCAAAAAAATTCTGTCCAGGATGCCCAAAGCCTATGCCTAGAACACACTGGGTACTACAGTCCACATGCTGACTTTACTAGAACAGATAGCCATGGAGAGCCACGCGTGTACAGTAAGCCGAAGCTCCCAGCACGAGTTTCTCGGTCACTTGCCTCATGACACAAGGCAGGCTACCCATCACCGCAGTTTTCACCTCTGTATAGCAGGAATAGTCACATCTTCTGCTCCCTGCTGGCACTATGAGCACTAAATGCAATGACGCATATGTCAGCGCACAACCCGCTGTAAGTTTACTAACTATTCATACACCTGGAGTCATCCTAACTGCTTCTATGTCCAATTCATTAATATCGCTCAGTAACCTTTGCAATATTCTGCTACACGTGCTTGAGAAAATGAGCGTAAAAGAGACAGATGACACTTAAGTATTATTATATGATAGTTTTCCCCATAGGGACCCCCAAGTGTCTGGATCACACTTTGAGAACTGCTGATATAAAGGAAGGTGAGTTAGAGAAAAGAGAAATCTTAAATGAAAGAAGAAAGAGAAGGGTCAGTTCCCACTACTGGTGTTCTACCTACAGTCACCTTAGTTACTGAAAATTGATTGTCCATGTGGTCCTAATAATTTTCATAGCTACGGAAGCCTATGCATCTGGTAGGTAAGCATGCAGCGGGTAGATACACCACACTAAACTTTAAGAGATGCTTGTAGCTGGATGTGGTAGCACATGCCTGAAATCCCACAACTCTGAAAGACTGGGGCAGGAGGACTGCAAGTTCGAGCCCAGCCTGGGCAACTTGGCAACTTAGCAAAGCCTTACCTCAAAATAAGGGGGAAAAAAAAGATTGAGAATGTAACTCAGTCTCAGTACAAAGGCCCTGGATTCAATTCCAAGTACCACCAGGGAAAGAAATTACTGGGAGGAGGGGAGGGGACAGAGAAAGGAGGGGAGGCAGGGAAAGGAGGAGAGGGAAGGAGAAGAGTGAGGAGGGGAGGGAAGGGGCAGGAGAGGAGAAATATAAGGAGGCGGGAAGGGTGAGCTCCTAAGGACTCTGTTGGCCAGTTCACAGTGTAGGTTGAAATCTCCACATGCTGACAGAAGCCTCATTTTCTTTCCTCCCCGCCACCCAGGGACCGCCTCCGAACCACAACCAACGTACTGGGTGACTCCCTGGGAGCTGGCATCGTGGAGCATTTGTCACGACATGAACTGAAGAACAAAGATGTGGAAATGGGTAACTCAGTGATTGAAGAGAATGAAATGAAGAAACCGTACCAGCTGATTGCCCAGGACAGTGAAACTGAGAAACCTCTTGACAGCGAGACCAAGATGTAGACTAACAGAGATGCTTTCCTGAGCACCAGGGCATTGACACCATCATGAAATGAGTCCCTCTCGTCAGGCTCAATCTTTCCAGTGAGCCCTTTCCCTCCTCTTCTCCCCACTCTGGTAGGACTGGAAGGAATTCACCCCAAAAGGGAGGATTTTTGTGGCAGCCAAAATGTATCGTTTTCATCCCACATTAACAATTTGAAAATCATCTCCTATTAGTCTTACGTAATAAGGTAGTAGGATCAAAGCTCATCTTGATCAGGTCTCCCCAATTTATGTGGAATAGGACCCCACAAATGTGACTGTTTTATAAGTTAAAGAGTCTAACAACTAGGCTAAAATATTTTAAGTCTACTTTCAAGTTACAAAAAGCCTTCTGAACATTCATCTCAAAACACAGCAACACACTGAAAAGCAATCAGCTGTCAGTTGGATAGTAGAAAAAATTGTTCCCCTCTCCTGATTTGTGGCTTCATTTTACTGGAAGTGAGAAAATGTACAAAGGTATCCCACAGAGCTGGGAGGAGGGACAGCAAGTGAGACTTCCACGTGGCTGCGGGCAGGTTGCATCGGATCTCTAGGCCTCAGCGTCCTCGTCTGCATGATGAATGACTTCCCTAGGTGCCTCTGTGGCCTCTCGGGCCCAATCTTCTTGTGACGTCACAAAAGAGCCAGCCTGCACTTCCCCCATGGAACTCCCTGCACCCAGGATCAGTCGATGGAGTGTGGAGCTCTGAGAAAGAGCACTTCATGGAAGTGAACACTTCTGCAATGGGACAGGATGGAGTGCGGTTGGTTCCCCAGCTCCTGCTTCTAACCATCAGTTAGGCAAGTTGCAGAGGGAAGGCCATTCCAGGAAAGGGATCATGCACGTTATTCTTGGCCTAGTTATTTCCAACAAGAGAAGTATTCCCTTCTTTCCTCCTCTCCTCAACCTGAAGGGACTGCTTGGGGAGGATGCCTCCCACCACTCAACTGACTAAAGATCCTTAGGAAATACACAGAGTAGCAACTACAAGGGTGCTGGTGGTCTATTATGGAACACTACAGAGCTAGAGAAGAGGGGAACATGACTGATATCAGAAAGGATTTTCTAAGACAAGGGTTTAGATCTTCCTTGAGGAAAAATAAAAGGAAGAGCTTCATTTGGGCCCTTTTTTTTCTAACCCAACACAGTTTTTCTTTTCAGTTTTGAGTTGTTTCCCCCAGGAAACATACACACAAAAATAGTCCTTCTTACATATTTTTGGAGAAGTCAAATGAATGCACTAATGCAGGTCCAAGAGCAGAGTTGGTGGCCTCTTTTCTGAAAATAGTTTTTGCTTTCATCAGGTCTTACAGAAATGAAATACTTATTTGAGTTGAAATCCCACTTAGCAAATTATTCAAAACTTGTAGCTACAGCAGGGTTTGCTTTATTTTTTTCTGTGTGCCTAAGAGATACAGCAGAAGACAAATCAGTAGGAAGACAATGTCGATGAGGTTGCAAGGAAAGACAGCAGTGGCATTAGTTTCAGCCAAGACAGCTCCCAGGTTGAAGAGATTCATTTTTGTCCCCTAAAAGAGTATTCAGTCAAAGATACTCAGCAGGAGCTGTCAGACGGTACCAGCTGTGTTTGAGTTTCTGCCTAGAAATGGCAAAGAATAGATTTAATCATGCTAACAAACTGAAAATCTAGACCTACACCCTCTGATATACAATTAGAAATTTATTTTATAGAGCCCCTGAGCACTATGTGCATGTAAAAGTTAACATTAGGCTGTGATAGAGTAACCATTTAATGCTGAGGCTCTATGTGGGGAATACACTACACAAATTAATGTACAAGGCAGCCGTGACACCAGTAGAGCAACAATTAATTGTGTCAAAGTAACTCTGCTACACGGTGTGATGTTTTTTATACTAACCATTTCTTATGAAAGCAGGTCCTCTAGGGCGATTCTCTGGCCAGCCGGCACAGGCTCTGCATATATACGCGCCTAGTGTGGACCAAAAGGCGTTACTGTATAGGTGTATTTTCAATAAAGAAAAAAAAATAGTTTTACATTAATATGCTGGTGTGTTGTTATTCTTTTCCCTGAAAGAAACTTAATTTTCTGTTTGTGGAAGTATTGCCAGCAGCTCAGGGCAAGCTAGGGGAAGGATGCCACACAGCACCATAATATCGTGGCAGGACGCACTGAGGGAGTGAGCCAGCCATGAGGAAATAAGTAAGGACACGTCCTCCTGTCAGCGCCTAACACTGGAGGCGGAAACTGGAAAGGGTGAGGAAACTGGCCTGCGCTTACTTGTCCAGTCAGATTCAGAATTTCTCAGATGAGTGGAATCGTTTTCATGTTGGGATTGGTAAAGGATAATGCAACCATGGAACTCTTCCAAAAAGTGATATCCAACCTTCACATTAAGCAGACTGATCTGTGTGATGACTACTGCCATTTGTGCAAAGAGCTGAGTCAGTACAAGGGGTATTTTGGAATGAGCCACGCGCTAATGAACCTCTTTGCATTAAGACAGACTTATGGGTGAGTCCTTCCTCACCTGCTTTTACACAAAGAGCTCACAGGCATCATGAAATCTCCACGTTGATCTTGTGCCAACAGACCTTTTCATTTGACCCTCTGCCTGAAGGGGACAGTCACCTAGAGAAAAGGCTCTTAAGTGAGGCCCATGACCCCTGGGTCATCCCTGTGAAAACTTCAACGGGTTTATAGCTCTTGAAATTGTGGGGAAAGTTCTGCACATTTGCCTGGTTCCTCAGACTTCATGAGTTTCTCTACAGGGTCTTGTGACCTTGCCCCCCCAAACTGCAAACCCACTGCACTGTATTTGATCAATGCATTTCTAACTTTTTTTCAAGGCATACAGTATGCGGTATTCGCAGCCAGTTTGGGTCTAGGAAGAGGCTGCTCAGAATCCAAAGGAACAAAATCCAGGCCACATAAGGAAATCAACGTCTGCAAACTCAGGTCGCTATCACTGAGAAGCCACCCAAGAGGCCCGCAGCCCACCTGGTCCAGGGTGAGGCCGTGCTCCCTCCTGGGGAAGATGGTGGCAATTGTCAAGGGACATGGCAGTTCAATTCCATGGTGACCAGAACAGAAAAGGCAGCTACAGTTCCCTATACCTTGGAGTCACAAATCTGTTCACAAATGGCACTATGAAAAGTTAGCAAACCCATTTCATAATTTTTTAAAGTCCTACCTAGACCCTGTGGGCCTGTGTCTTTTATTCTCATCTTTATCCTGTGACCACCACTATACAACTCAAGCAGGATTCCCTTTCCCAAGCCAAAAAAGCTCACGACCAGGAAAATCCTCTTTCCCATGCCTTTAGTCGCATACACGATGTTGAAAATAGAAATTGAAGAGCTGTTAATTGCATGGGTCTGAAGGACGCTCTGAAGAAGGGCTCCCTTCCCGCGAGAGGAAGGCTCTGTGCCTTCTGCTGGGGCCGCCCTCGGGCCCTTTCCGGAGCCCGCCCGCCCTTGACCTCAGGCTGCTGTGGATCATCCAGGCCTCCTGGAGGCAGCCCCCCTCCCCCTCCACCAGGGTGGTCCCAGAACTGGGGCGACAATGTCCAGCTCTGTGTGGCCTCGTCCTGGGGCCAGAGCAGTTGAGAAGTGTCACGCCTAGGGCAGACTCGGAATGAATAAGCCGACACAAAAAGAAGAAGGAAGGAAGAACAGATAACTGAAGCGTAGCGTCCTAAAAGGGAAAGTAGAGATGAGCGTCTCTGGGCTCAGGGAGGCAGGGCCTGGGCGGACGATACCTAAAGTAGCCACCAGGGGGGGGGCAAGGAACTCACGCAGGGCTGATGTCTCTGGAACCCTAGGAGGGGTGCATCAATCTATTCATTAATCTACGAAGACAGTCAAGTAGGTAAAAATTCCTCACGGCCCTCAGTTCACGCTTCCCTCTGGTCACCTTGCTTCTGTCTCCAAAAGAGCGCTCTGCTTTCTGGGTACCCTCTGTCTTCTGCTCCCTTGTGTTTCTCTTCACCTCTGTCCCCCACCTCTCTGCACCTTGCTGGGAAATCCCAGCTCCCCACCCCCCACCCGGGCAGGTACTCCGGAGGCAGCACAGTAACTTTTTCCAGCCGGGCTCGCGTCCTACCGGCAAACTGCTGTCTCCACCTTCAGTTTAGAAACAGTCACATTTTGTCAGATTCTGCACTTTCTAAGTAAGGTTGTCAGATACAATACGAGAGACCTAGTTAAATCTGAGTTTCAGATACGTAAAAATAATGCTTTAGTGTCAATGGCGAATAATAAAGTGTTAGTACACAAGTATGAACACCATGCCTTCCTATTTGTGAATCTGGTGACCCAACACACCAGTGACAGGAAGAGCTGACAACGGCTCATGTTTGCTTTGGGAAGGGACAGAACACAAGAGAGAGGATCTGTAAGTTGGGGGGGGGGCATTTTCTTTATAAATATCGTTCCACTTTTTGAGGTCTCTCTGAAGACTTTCTCAAGAATGCTTTAAAAAGTCCAGATCCGACATTTGCTACTATTTACTTGTTCTGGAGACAGTATCACTCATTCTGTGATCACCATGGCCTAGAAGCCTGATGAGTCGCCTCTAAGACTCCACAGAACTGTCTGAAATAAAATCAGCAGTGTTTCCATTATCCATGCTTGGAATGTTTTAAGGCTGGCATTTGTTTTTCTTTTCTTCCCTTTCCTACTTAATCCTTCCTTGCATGCCTTATTTCTTCAACCCCACCCCAACCCCAGATCAAGTATTTTCACTAACCCATTACAGAGCTGACAAATTTGCCACTCACATGCTCTTTTCCAATGACAGACACTTTTTGTTTTTTTCATTTGGGGGCAGCTTTTAGAAAAGCACCCATGCTATTTATTTTTCATGTATTGCTGTTCAAAGATAATCACTGTCTGGTCACTATGAAGTTAGGAATGAGGCACTTAAAGATTTTTGGGGAACTCCAGCCTCCATGGATGGGAATAATCCCTAAGAAAGCCCCTTCTGTAAGCCGTGGGTGAAGGAACCTGAGATGCAGGGCCCAGCTAGTACTGAGGAAGAAATCACGAAATCGCAAACTCTTTCCCAATAACGACCCAGACACAACTACATTGCGGAGAGCAGACGCAAAACAACACATCTGACACAGAGGATGATGTCAGATTCTTTTCCAACTCTACAGGATCAGGCATCAAAAAAAAGACCTAAAAAGCAGCTAGCCAGAAACTTCGAGGCAGAGTTCACTCAGGTGAAATAAAGACCACTCAGCTGACCTAACCCAAACCCAGTGTCTAAAGCCCTCACCCCCTAAGGTTTCTGTCAGCAACACAAATCTGAAAACTGTCACCACAGTCCACTGCCATGGCACCACAGCGCCTTAGAGAGGCACTTTTTCTTCAAGCCCCTAAGGGACTATTAAGCAACAAAATGGAAAATAAATTGAGAAAGTCAGCATCTAGACTTTAAAAAGCTTTATGCTTCCTAAAGCTTAGAGGTCTCCAGCTACAAAGTGATGTTGAGTCTAGACCTGCATACAGCAATGGGTTGACTTCCCAGTGCTAAACACAATTTCCTTTCTCTTCCTCTCCATTCTTCTCTCTGTCTTTCTGTCTCTGTCTCTGTCTCTGTCTCTCTCTCTCTCTCT